AAAAGCATTTTTCATGTCGGTTATCCAATCTCCTTCCAGAGCTTTGTCGGATAGATGTCGGATGCCATGAGCATGTTCACTTGCAGCCGGACTTCAAGAATCTCTCTTGAAGTCAGGATTCACATAAAGATGCAGAGGAACGCAGCAGCAAACAAGTGGATATCCAATGTCGTATTCGTCATCCACGAAATCGATACACGACAGAAATTCGGAGATACAGGCAACGAATACGCACCATACTGCCACAGCACCATCTTACCCCTGCAGTCAAATGACCCGACTCCATCTGCAACTTGCTTATTTTTGGCCGAAGGAGCGTTTACCCGTCATGTAGGCGACGCTAAATAGATAGTGTGGCTGCCACCTTACAGCACAGGCTGCACATGGTGGCATCACTTTCTATGGGTCTTGGAAATCAAGGATGACATGAGTAGCTTCGTCTTATTACACGCCGCCGAGACGACAGACTCCGCCACGACGGCGGAGAAATTGATTTCGTGGTTTTCCTCATATTGGTGTGTGGATACGTGGGTGGCCCATGGCGTCCTCCATTTCAATAACGAGGTTACAGAGAAGATATGTAAGATGGTGGATGCGCAATATCATATACCACACCCTACATCCCGTGGGCGAATGGCACGGAGGGTGTGGTTAATCATTTGATCCAGAGTGCGGTCATGGCCCTCCTCAGGCAGATGAAACTCGAGGTCAATGAGTAGTCCCTGGTCCTGGCATTGGTACAAGGCGCAATGAACCACCAACTAACTACACGAATTGGCGGGGGCAGCTTCCGTAACGGCCTTTACAGGTTTGCCCGCGAAGACCCCTAAATGTGGATTTGTTCATTCAGTGACACGTGAGGTACTACGGTCGACTGGCTTGACTATGCCAGAGTGAAGCATGTGGAGAAGCTCAAGATTGCGTTGAACCAGCTTCACCGCGATGCGGCTGCGAGCAGCAGCAAGTTTCAGCGCCAGGCCTGCGAAGGTCACGGAAAAACCCCAGTATCAAGTTTACCAATTTCACAGTTGGCGATGTTGTCCTGGTGGGGTCTTTCGTGCGAAGACAGACAAATTGGCTTAGATTTGGCGTGGCCCGGAAAGCGTGGTCGTGTTATCGCTGACTACGTCATGCAGACGCAGCAGCTCGTGGTGCTCTACGCTGTGTCTACATATCATGTGTGTTGTCTCACACTGCACTACGAGGGCGGCCGTGAAATAACGGTCTATCTGGTCGAGCAGATTGCTTTCGGTGAAGTTGGGTTCAATGTGGAGTGTTTGGAAGACATGCGAGCGGTCGGCGACAGCTTTGACGTTCGTGTCAAGTGGTTGGGTTTGGAGGACGATGAATCGACGTGGGAACCAGTAGCGATTACTAGGCTAGAGGACATCCTGGTGATCTTCCGCACGTGGTGAGTGAGTCGCAGGTCTGACAAGACCGTTACAACCATGATGCGGAGCCTGGGCCACTTGTAGTGAGGGAGGCGAACTTAGTCTTCTTCAACAAGAACTTACGTTCTGCTGGGAGCAGAACAGCCAAGGTCACGCGTTAGTTTGACCTTCTATCGGGGTATGTTGACCGGCAGAGTGAGAGGTCTGGCAAAGCTTCCAGATCTATTCACTACGTACATGCGGGTGTAAGTAGCGGAGAGGTGATGAATGGCTGTAGTTAGAAAGGTGAACCCTTAAACTCTGTCTATTAATTCAGTGTCAATTTTGCTTGCTCAAGAGTTGGGTTCTCGCGGTCGGAGCTACGGG